TTTTATCTCTCTAGAGAACCCTGTCTAACACAGGCCTCTGCTCCAATCCCCCTTGTTCTTATTTGGAGCTTCTTGATCCTGGTTTTCCTTCCTATCCATTAGTCATGCAGCCATTTTTCTTAATAGGAAGATTATGTTCCTGTCATGTTTGAGATAGACATTCAGACATTGGAAGTGTGGATTTGCCATGATGCATGGTTGCGTGCAGAATTACAATCATCTGTGTTTCCTAAACCAATATTTCTCGATGCAGCTTGAAGAAAGCCTGCAGCTCGCCCTTGATGAATCTGAAAGCAGTGGTGGAACCAGACAAGATCAGCCAGCCAAGAAAATGAGCCCACAGCAGCACGGAGCTATTCCAGCCACAGCACCTTCGGAACTTTCCCCCAAACCTAAGGTCACTCTGAAAAGAAAAAAAAAGGTGACATAATGCCCATTGCCACCTTTTTTTTGGGGGGGAGGGGGGTGTTTCAAATATTTGGGAGCATTTTCTCGCTCCTTCAGTCCCTTGAAAAGATCATTTTGCCATTTACAATCTTCAGGGGCCTGAATGGCCCCTGCGAAAGGTTAGGGCCATACCCTAATTCCTAGACCCTGTCTGTTACTCTGCCTTGTTAGGGTGGGAATCCTGAGGTACTGGATGAGATGTGTGAGGGCCTGGAGAGAGATTTATTTTAATACGTTGACTCATGGTTATAGGGGGCAGCAAACAAGCTCCATGGGTCTTGTGGAAGGCTGGAAAAGCCCAGACGTCTCCAGGCTGAATTCTGTGGGGCAAGCAGGGCAGGAGCCCCAGCAGCACGCCTGGGTCACAGCACGCCGACTTCACCTCCCTTGGAAAATGTCGGCTTTGCCTTTTTTAAGTGATGGGATGAAGCCCACTCACGTTATGGAGGGTAGTCTGCTGCACTGGAAGACCCAAACTCCCTGCCATTGAGTCGGTTCTGACTTGTCGTCCCCTGTAGGACAGAGTAGAACTTCCTCTGTGGATTTCTGAGACTAACTCCTTATGGGATTATAAATCTTAATCATATCTAAATATCTTTATAGCAATATCGAGACTGGTGTTTGACTAATTGGAGACCAGATCTTAGCCAAGATACGCATAAAATTAACCGCCACACATCCAATTGTATGGTTGCTTATGGAAAGAAAAAGAGTTCTGATGACAGAGTGGGCTATGTGTTGGGCTACTACCCTCAAGGTTAGCAGTTCAAAACCACTAGTCACGCTGGGGAGAAAGATAAAACTTTCTACTTACGTAAAGAGTTACAGGCTCAAGACCCACAGAAGCAGTTC